CTCGATGAATATGAAGGATGAGCTAACGTTTCAATTCAGCTCACTAAAGCCTTTTGTTTAAGGATGTCAACGGGGCGGATCGGGGATGCGTTTACATATAACCGTACATGACCGGGCTAAACTTGCAAGTGTACAAGTGTCGATATAGTAATAAATTCCGGTAAAATACCGGGTCGAATCCACAAGGAAACGTTGTTTAATTTAGTCTGTGAGTAGATAACTTTAGATGAAACCATATAACTCGGTGATGAAGCTAAGTGGATTCTCCCCCGGATGACCATGAAATCGAGGCATAGCATTGAAGTAGTTATTCTTCATTTCATAGTCCCTTGCCGCCTCGCTTGGGACAATACATGAGGGAGTGGCGGCAACCACGGGTCTCTTCCTTTCGTTGAGTGTTGGCATCATTTTTGCTTCTTTTCTTTCCCTCCGGTTGTGTTTGAAAGTTCTTTCTATTTCAAGACCAATAGGTTCAAGATGTTTAGAACCTTGACTTCTCAAATGCATTCAAACACAAAGCATAGGTTACACACATGAAATAAAAAGTACCACAAGAGCAAGTGAAAAGCAACGAGAAATGAAAATTTCAGGATTTTTGATTGATTGTTTTGGACTTTATTAAACAAGACCGTTTCCCCGGCAACGGTGCCAAAAACTTGACCGAGCTAAACTTGCAAGTGTACAAGTGCCGATATAGTAATAAATTCCGGTAAAATACCGGGTCAAATCCACAAGGAAACATTGTTTAATTTAGTCCGTGAGTAGATAACTTTAAATGAAGAAATGAGTAAAGTGCATGGATTTTGATTTGTGTTTTATATTTTTGGCTTTTCACTTTTTTGCTTAAGAAGATAATCGTTAACTAATTTTAAGTTTAAGATGAATGATAACAGCAACTAAGGCTTCGGGAATCACTTAAATGCTTTATTAGGGTTGAATATTAGTTCTTTGCCAATAATTATGAATACGATGTCGCTAATATATTCTCAACTCCGGTTAAGGCAGCGAAAGCGTGGTTTTTGTTACGTGTAAGTCTCGTTATGGCTTACATTCATCTACCGAAAACCCCGTTGAATATCAAGACATCACACGCGCATCATATAAGATCGGATATATTTCTATTCTCGGTACTATATATGTTTATCCTTTAATGTTCATAGTTTAGACTTCAACGTTAATTGCAAGTATAAACTAAATTTAACATACTTCTATGTTGTACACCATAGTCATAAACAATCAATATATAAAGGATAAATCACAATTTATTGGTTTAGAATTTTTATCAAACACCTAATGGGCATAGAAGTTCATCCCTGGTCTTAGCTAAGAAATTAGCCTCTAATGCTCATATTAATAAACAAACAATAATAAATGTAATGGAACATGAAATCACAAAGGAAATAATACCTAAACACCAATGATTTCGGAGGATGAACTTCCCTCCTCAAGAACTTGAAGAAAATACCAAGAACAAAAATATAAAAGCTAAGAATTAATCTATGGAATGGAATGTCTTTGTATGATGAATTGAGGGCTTTATATAGGCTAAAGAATGGCATCTTTTAGTCTATTCAAGCCCAACAAATAGGTATGGAGGAAATATTAGATCAAATATGAGGAAGATGAAGTTTTCCCATCAAGAAATCTCTTGCACGTAGCTGTGTTTGTAGCAGAAATCGGAACAACCGGCGCCGGTTATAGGGTGTCCGGCGTCGGCCTTGTGAAAAAATGCGTCGGCCGCTCTGCGCCGGTTGGAAACAGGTCGTTTTTGGGAAAAAATCCCAACGACCGGCGCCAGATGTGTGATGACCGGCGCCGGTTCTTGCGCCCAAACTTGTACTTAGCTTCTTTTCTCTTTTGATGCCCAAAATTTATCTAGAAGTGCTGGTTTTCGACCCCTTTTGACTTTTGACCTTATTTTTGCTATTCCAAGCCGTATTTCATGTTTCCGCTCATTCGGGAATATTTACCTGTTTTTGCTTCATATTTTTGTACAGATAATTATAATCACTTATGTAAAACATAAGTAATTATTTTGCTTATCAGTACACCCGTACCCGCCCTGTCGGGTAAATTCTCCACTCCGTAATCACCCTATTATCTAACGGGTAATTTCTACTCAAACCATAAACGCCCCAACGGGTAACAGGTATAACATTGGGTAACCGTGGGTAACCGCTTTATTAAATGAGTCATTTATATTTTAATATAAAAAATAATAATAATTTAAAAGAACAATACAATTGCATCGTCTAGACGACTCTAGATATCAAACGCCTCTTTAAAATTTTGTATATCTACAAGACGAGAAAGAAGACAATCTAAATTAATTTGAATATAAAAAAACTTACTTTGAGAAATAACTAATCGTGAACAAATCTGATAATGATCAAGCAAGACTATAAAAATCTATCATGAATTTTCATTCATACACTATAGTTATACATCTATTATCCATATATGCACAATGAAAAAACAAAAATATCATCTTTTAGTAGTTGTGGGACAAATAATAGATAAAAATGTGGTAAAAATATAACTAAAAATATACTGGGCGAGTAATTAGGGGGCTATTTGTAAAACCGCAACAACCACGTTACCCGTAAAAACAAAACAGGTATTCTTCGCCTCGTATTCATTACCCGATCTATGCGGATTTTCGCATTTTGACCGGTGCAATTTGATGTGGATATCAATGTGTCACAATTGTCATCCATACTTTTGTCCAAACAAAGCTACATTAAAATCAATTGACCAAAATTAAAACATTTCACCCAATTTTGACCTAATCTGTCCTGTCGAACATCAGTTCGTATATACTACATCCGGGTGTACGAGTGAGAACCGTACATCCGGGTATTTTTTATTTTTTCAAAGCTTCAGCCCAATTTAAATGAAATTTAATGAATATAATGGAGGCCCACAATAATTAACGAGCAAATCCCATAAACAACAGGTCCGGAGTGGAAAACAAGTAAAGGGGCCAAATATTTTAACGGTGACATTTTTGTAATTTAAGCGAAAAATCATGTCTCCTGCTAAATGAGCAATAATGTACTTTTAATGAGCATTTGACCTGTTTTATTGAGTATTAGATGGCTAATTATGAGTATCACGATATCTGTTTTACATCTTCTAATTCTTTTTCTGGTTATTTTTTCTTTTATAAAAACTTATTAAATTATATCTATAATATACTCCTGTTAATTTCAATATGCGAGTCTAATGTAATATGATACTTTTGGAACATGCATTGATATGACATTTTAAAAATGAGCATAACATTAGTACAAAATGAGCATACATAACTTACAAAGTGCACATTATATGGAAATCGTAAGGTTTGTTAGTTGAACATCATGACATTTTAAATGAGCATCAACCTCCACCATTGAGATGAAAATCACGACTTCTGGAGAATGAGTAATAATGAACTTTTAATAAGTATCAGACCTATTATATTGAGTATTAGGAGTCTAATATAAAATACTCCGTAGTACTTTTAAAATGCATTGATATGACATTTATAAAATGAGCATATGATCAGTCTCAGATGAGCATACATATCAAACATCGTCTATTGAGATTGATGAAAATCATGAATTCTATTAAACGAGCATTAATGAATTTTTAATGAGCACCAGACCTATACAAATGAGCATATGTAATTTACAAGATGGGCAATGATATGAAAGTTGTAAGTTTTATTCGTTGAGAATCAAAACATTTTCAGTGAGCATCAAACCTCTGTTATTGAGTATTAGAATCTGCGATTGAGTATTAGAATCTGCAATTGAGTATCAAGATTTGTTGTCTCGTGTCTATAATCAATTCTTATATAAATATACTAATAATGTAATATGAGACTTTTGAAATGCGCATTGCTAAAACATTTTAAAAATGAGCATAACAGACCCGTACGGGTAGCTCAGTTGGCCGAGCGGTGGGAGATTTGGAACAATGGACCAAGGTTCGAATCCCCGCAACGACCGGGTGGATGTCACAGAACCTGAAATAAGACTGGGCCTCTGGTGCGCACGGGTGTATGTGCCTACTGCCATTCTGCTGACTAAGTCACCGTCACTAACCTCCCCACCATCCTGTCGGGTCGGGGTGGGGGCTCCTGGGGTGAGAGATTCCACCTTTTTTGGAACAATAAAAATGAGCATAACAGAGATACTAAATGAATATATATAATTTACAAAATGAGTATTCCAAAATTCAAAAGCTCATTTATGTATGTTCATTTTTTTACGCTTTTTACTCATTTGAGTTTAAGGTAAAACTCATTTCTAATGTGCTCGATATAATGTATATAAATACGAAAAGAAGTAAACAACAAATAAAGAAAGAAAAAGAAGTACAAAAAAGACAAAACAAAAGAAAGTGAAATAAAAAAAACATAACAAAAAGACAAAAGTAAAAGATAACAAAAAGAATGGATGGTTGTAAAAGAAAAGATGATGGAAGGGAAGCAGAGAAACAAAAGATGATGGTCGTGGATTCGTGGAAGAAACGAGGATGGCTGGGAAGGAAAGAAACAAAAGATGATGTCGATGGATGAAAAGATGATGGCAGAGAAGGAAAAAATATGCAAAGTCAGCTGAAAGAAAAAAGGAAAAGAATGGCTAGCCAGAATGGTTGCGAAAGAGAATGCCCACTAGGATTAAAGTTTGTTTATTTACAAAAATATCCATTGTGTCTATACACTAGCATATAGAGGCCGTTTGGCAGCATGAAAATCGGTTGTTCTGTCTGATTCTGCTGAAATTTATGAAGTTCTGGCTGAAGTGGCTGCATTGGCTGATTCTGCTGATCCAAGAAAAAAATATTTTTAAAATATATTTTATTAATAAAATAAAGAAAAAATTATATGTAAAAAAAACTAAAATGGTCATCTACCGTAACTTCAGTCAATACAGTCAGAAAAGTAACTTCAACCTTATTTTTTCGACTTATTACACAATTTAGCGCGCGAAAGCAAAATCTACCTGTTTCATAAAAAAAAAGTTGTTGATGAGCCAAATCAGTGTTGGCAAAAGGCCTCATAAAAAATCCTCAAGAGCTTACATCGACTGCGTGATTCCTCAGAAGCCGGAGAAAGAAAAACTAAGCACCCCAAACTTCTGATCGAAAATAATGGCCAGAAGCAAGCAAAAAGTTGCTGCTGCCAAGCGAGGTAGTTTGATTTTTACGCGGACAAACTACTTGCTTTTCTTATTACTTCAAAAAAGAAATCGTTTGATCTTCAGAACCCTGACTATCTTCTTCGTTTTCAGGTGCCGGAGTAATCGCTTCCACACCGAAAGTACGCCCCATTTGATTTTTATGGTGTAAATTGCGTGCTTTTGCATGCATAGACTTGTATTATAATGTTTTGTTCTCATTTCGTGGATTCAGGGGAAGCCAACCGAGTCCAATAAGAGGAGAAGTAAAGCCATGTAGAATTTGTCTCAGTTTCGTATTTTCTTGGGCGGTGAAATTAAATAATTGACATTTTGGTATGTTTCTTTTGCTAGATTCTAAATCCAGTTCTGCTCCAACTGGCGCTGTAACACACAAGCCTCGTCGTTTCAAGCCAGGAACAGTGGCTCTCCGGGAAATCCGAAAAATCCAGAAGTCATGCAAGCTACTTGTACCCGCTGCCCCATTTGCTAGGCTTGTACGTTCTTGCAGTTTTACCCTTTTCATTGGCTATACTCAAGATGTATATCTTTGATTAGTACACTGTTCAATCTTGTGAATAAGATGATTTCCAAAATGGGTAACTAGGGATATCTCAAAATGACTTAGCATGCCAAAACATGTAATGACATTCTCTTGAGAAGAACATGAGCGGGAGTCGATAATTTATTGAATTTGCTGTCTGTATATTAAATAAAGTGATAGATTAGAGTGTTGTCCCTGTACATGCTCAAGATCTCCATATTAGTTATGGTTGGGGTGGGATGGGGAGAGTGTTAGAGTTAGATCTCACACACACACGAATCTAAAAAACTAGAAAAGAACGAGAAGAACGGCACACAAATATAACGTGGTTCAGCCGGCAAGTGTTACTGACCTAATCCACGGGGGCAACTAGGGTTTTCTTTCTTATTGAGATGATGAATGATACAAGTCATAGTTTACAAGTACATGAGTCAATATATATAGGCAAACAATTAGGGTAAAACACTTAGGTTTTGGGCCTGACTGCCACCAAAGAAACAAGCCCAACTAGGGATGCCTGCACATTTAGCTAGAGCAGACTGCTGCTCTTTGTTTATTTGGCTCCCATATCTGAATGGGCCGAAGCCTACATCCCAACAATCTCCCACTTGGAGGCTTCGAAACACGATCAACTGCACTCCACTCCTCTGTACTTCTTTAAACTTCATCTGTGTTTAGCTCCTCCTAGTTGCCACCTGCCTTCTCAACATTATTCTTGAAGGCCAGCTGAAGTTACACAGAACTTCAGCTTGTCCAGCGTCACAAATTTAGTGAACATATCTGCTGGATTCTTTGCACCTGAGATGTTCTTCAAGTTCATCTTTCCTTTAGTGATCAACCCTCTGACAAAGTGATAGACTGGATTCTTGGCAAGTTTCACTGCACTCTCATTATCACAGTGTAACGAGTAACCTGCTTGCTTTTTGTCTAACTCGTCAAGGAAGTTCCTCAACCAAACTAACTCTTTAATGGCTTCAGCAACTGCCATGTACTTTGCTTCGGTTGTTGAAAGAGCTACACTTTTCTGAAGTTTGGACATCCAACTAACTGCAGTTCGTCCCACTGTGAAAATGTACCCCGTAGTGCTTTTAAACGTCTCTTTGCATCCACCCAAATCAGCATCAGATTACCCTCTCAAAATCACGTCTTTATCTCTGAAACATAACCCCATCTTTGTAGTACCCTTCAAATACCTAAGTATCCATTTAATTGCTTCCCAATGTTCCCTCCCCGGTTTTGACATGAAGCGACTAACAACCCCGACTGCATGAACAATATCTGGTCTTGTGCACACCATAGCATACATGAGGCTACCAATTGTAGATGTAAAAGGAACTTTAGCCATTTCTGCTTTCTCTTCGTCTGTTCTCGGAGACCGGTCTTTGGTAAGCTTGAAGTGACTTCCCAAAGGCGTGTTTCTTGGTTTAGTCTTCTCACCATTCATTTTGAATTTCTCCAACACTTTCCCAATGTACTTCTCCTGGGATAGTGTTAAAGAACCATTCTCCTTGCTTCTGACTATGCTCATTCCTAGAATCTGTTTGGCTGGACCCAAATCTTTCATTTCAAATTCTTGAGACATTTGTTTCTTTAACTTGCTGATATCTTTCATATTTGCACTAGCTATCAACATATCATCTACATAGAGAAGTAGAATGATATATGAACTCTTGAACCTCTTCACGTAACAGCAATGGTCCATCTCACAACTTCTGTAACCTGTCCTTATCATGAAGTTATCAAACTTCAGATACCACTGCCTCGGTGCTTGTTTTAGACCATATAAGCTCCATTTTAGTTTACAGACCAATGTTTCTTTACCAACAACCTGAAATCCTTCAGGCTGTGCCATGTAGATATTCTTATCAAGATCGACATGTAGAAATGTTGTTTTAACATCTAGTTGCTCTAGATGTAAGCCCTCTGTTGCTACAATACTTAGAACCAATCTGATGGTGGTCATTCTAACCACGGGAGAAAAAATCTCATTATTATCCACTCCCTTTTTTTGCTGAAAACCTTTGACCACTAAACGGGCTTTGTAACGTTTTGACCCATCAGGTTCATCCTTGATTCTGAATACCCATTTATTTTGAAGTGCCTTCTTACCTGGCAGAAGCTTAGTAAGAACCTATGTCTTGTTCTTGTGTAAGGCATCCATTTCTTCTTTCATAGCCTGCTCCCATTGAAACGAATCATTCTGCTTTACTGCTTCGAATTAACTTTTTGGTTCTCCATTTTCAGTCAAAAGGAGATAATTGACTGAAGGACTGAATCTTTCTTGAGGTTTAGTGACTCGTGTGGATCTTCTGACCCACTATGTTTCAACTGGCTGTGGCTGCACAGGTGAAGGTGCTCCTTCATCCTCTGAATTTTCACTATCAACAGTCTTCGTGATCATCCTCAGACTCGTCAATACTGGAATCATTCTCCATGCTCCCACCGTCTTGAGTATCTTCAGACTCTCTGTTTCTGATGACATCATTTTCAAACTTAACCTGCTCTTTCTGAATCTTTGAGTTTTCTGTGCTTCTGTCTTTATAAAGTTCAGCCTCGTTGAATGTAGCATGTTTACTTCTGACTACCTTTCTACTTTCAAAGTCCCAAAGTCTATAACCCATGTTGTCTCCCCCGTATCCAATGAAAGTGTATTTCTTGGCTTTAGCATCTAACTTGTGACCATCTTTGATAAGATCATAAGCGCTGCATCCAAATACCTTTAAATGCCCATACTTTACCACTTCTTCTTTCCACTCTTCCTCTGGTATCTTGAAACCCAATGATACTGATGGCCCCCGGTTGATAAGATAAGCGGCAATGTTCACTACATCAGCCCAGAACGTCTTTGGAAGCCCAACATCAAGTCTCATACTTCTGGCTCTCTCATTCAAAGTTCTGTTCATCCTTTCTGCCACTCCGTTTTGTTGAGGAGTGCCTGGAACCGTCTTTATCATCTGAATGCCATGTTTAGCACAATAATCAATAAACTTCGTGCTAATGTATTCACCACCATTGTCCGATTTCAAGCACTTTACCTTCAGATTAGTTTCCAATTCAACATCAGTTTTCCACTTCTTAAAAATATTGAAAACTTCAAACTTATTTCTAAGAAAGTAGACCCATACCATGCGTGTTGAGTCATCAATGAAGGTCACATAGTAGCTTGATCCTCCCAGAGAAGAGACTGGCGTTGGCCCAAACACATCCGTGTGAACTAGCTCCAGCTTATGAGTTTTCAGTGTCTGACCTGTCTTCACAAAAGAAACCTTTTTCTTGCCAAGTACACAAGGCTCACAGAACTCAGAATCCACCTTTTTCAAATCTGGAAGTTTCCCCTTGCAATGAGCATCTTCATTCCTTTTTCACTCATGTGGCCTAGCCGTTGATGCTACAAACTGGATGGATTCAGCCCGCTGGTCACTGCATTCATCTCATCATCAGGAGCTTCAACCATATATAAAGTACCCCTTTTGCCTCTGGCGATTACAAGATTCCTCTTGACAACTTTCCATTGTCCTTCAGCAAAAGTAACATCAAATCCCTGATCATCCAACTGCCCAATAGAAATCAGCATCTTCTTAAGGCTTGGAATGACCAAAACGTCTTTCAATGTCCAAGTGGTGCCCAATGAAGTCTTTAAGTCTTTGTCACCCATCCCTGTGATGTTAAGAGGAGAGTCATTATTAGCCAAACGAACTTTACCAAAAGTAACTGTCCGTAGATTCTTCATCGCCTTCGTGCTGAAAGTAGCATGAAATGATGCACCCGAATCCATAATCCACGTTTTTGTTGAGTTTTCAACACAACAGATAAGGGCATCATCTGAATCGCCAGTGGCTGCATTTACTTCCTTCCTTTCTGAAGATTTAGGGCATTAATTTCTGAAATGCCCAGTTTCTTTGCCGTTCCAGCATTGAATATCTTTTCTCGGTTTTGACTGGCTCCTCTTTCTAGACTTTGATCTACCTATGCCATTTCCTCTCTTTCTTTCTACCTCTCCCTTCAGTACTTAACAAAGCACTAGAAGATTCTCCAGAACTCCTCCTTATATCCTCTCCTAGGATAATGTCACGAATGCCCTCAAATGTGAGTTTAGAGGTTCCAGTTGAACCGACTGTTCCTGACCCACTTTCTGGTAATGAGGATAATGAGAATAAAGCTTGGACTTCATCTTCAAACTTAATATCAACAGATAGTAAACGGGATATGATAGTATTGAACTCATTAAAATATGAGGTAACGGATGCACCTTCTTTCATTCTGGTGTTTACCAACTGTCTTATCAGAAATACCTTGTTTGATGCCGATGGTTTCTCATACATGTTTGACAAAGCCTTCATCAAACCACATGCAATAGTCTCCTTCAAGATGTTAAACGCCACACTCTTGGCTAGGGTAAATATGATAACAGCCAAAGCTTTCCTGTCTAGAGCAGCCCATTCATCATCACTCATCTTTTCTGGTCTTTTCCCTGTCAAGGCTTGATCCAAATCCTTCTGACCCAGCAAATCCTCAATTTGCATCTTCCACCATCCAAAATCTTGTCCATCAAACTTCTCGACATTGGTTTTTCCGTCATCTGCCATTGTCCCAGTCCTTCACAATCTGCTGGCTATATTCTTCTGCGGCAGCGCACTGTTGGCGGCACGAGGAGGCTGAAGACGCAGGGCGGCAGCAATGGTGGTGGTCGAATATGTGGTGGTGGCTAAGCTTGCTCTGATACCAGTTGTTAGAGTTAGATCTCACACACGCACAAATCTCAAAAACTAGAAAAGAACGAGAAGAACGGCACACAAATATAATGTGGTTCAGCCAGTAAGTGTTACTGACCTAATCCACAGGGGAAACTAGGGTTTTCTTTCTTATTGAGATGATGAATGATACAAGTCATAGTTTACAAGTACAAGAGTCAATATATATAGGCAAACAATTAGGGTAAAACACTTAATAAGATTCTGGGCCTGACTGCCACCAAAGAAACAGGCGCAACTAGGGCTGCCTGCACATTTAGCTAGAGCAGGCTGTTGCTCTTTGTTTATTTGGCTCCGAGATCTGAATGGGCCGAAGCCTACAGCCCAACAGAGAGTTCATTTTATCTTGATATGCTTACCTTTAGAAGTTAAAGAAAATCTACCAGAGTATGGTGTTGGATAACTCCTGTAGATATGAACCAAGCATTAACAATGTAAGGACATCACAAGATAGATATACTTCCCAGTGGCCATTCTATAGTTAATGCCTTTGCAATTTCTGAGTGTCTTGTAAATAAGGTCATTTCTCATTCTCATTCATCCAATCAATTTTCGGGTGAAATGCGGTGGGCCATTTATCTTACTAAATGGCTCACATATATGGTCATTCATTTACTTCAAATCTTATTTAGACTGCAACATCATATGAAACTATGGCATACTGTCCTGTTAATGTGACACTCTCTTTTTTGTTTCTCAATTGGAGACAAAGTTGGTTGTGTGCTGTATATTCAAATTGAAAGCTGAAATGTTTTGTAAATTATGCCCATTGTATTATTTATTATACTTCCTCCGTTCTTTTTTAGTTGCAACATTCACTCTTTCACGTTTGCTAATGCACAACTTTGACCGTCATTATATTTAATTCTGTATTATTAAAAAATAATTAAAATCAGATTATGAAACTCTTTAATGAGACGAATTCAACAATATTTTTCAAAAAAAAAATTCACCTACATTAATAAATAAAATGCAGTTAAAGTAGAGTACATGAATAGTGTGTAATTTGCAATGTTGCAAACTAATGCAATGTTGCACTAGCAAGATTTGCAGCACTCTCAGAATGCTAAATTTGGAATTTCTAAGTAATCGCACTAGCTGTCTAGCGATGTTTTCCGCCATCGTTCTCATGTCTGTTAAGTTCTTCTCCATCGATCTCTGCTTCCTCTCCAGCGAATCCATCCTATGCTCTGATACCAATGATAGGACACCGGTAAATCCGGCTCAGAACAGTAGAGAATTAGGAAGAATAGATCAAGAAATTGATCATTATCATTATCATTATTATCACCACCGCCGCCGCCACCACCACCAGCCTTTATTATTATTATTGTTATTATTATTATTACTATTACTATTATTACTATTATTATTATTATCAACTTTCTCGCTAAGGTATTGTGGGTTTTCCTTTCCTTAAAATCGAGTTCTTATGTTCTTTCTAAATATGGCAGGTTAAAGAGCTTAGCATATTTTATGCACCTCATGTGACACGCTGGCAAGCTGAAGCTATGCAAGCACTTCAGGAGGTATAACAGCATTGTGTACATGTATTTTTGTTATGATGTGTAATTACCTAATTTTTTGTGCATCAAATACCAACTGGATCAATTACCTTCAATTTTTTACAAATTTCAAAGTGAAACTTCATTTCTTCTATACTTCATTTTTTGGATAACTGATAAAATTATATAGGTAGTATACAACAACATCCAAGCCTTAGTCCCAAAAGATATTGGGGTCGGCTAACATGAATCGATACATGATATCATAACCAAAAGGAAAAGAAGGAATAAAGATAAAAAGATAAGCTATTATGAAAAGATATTATAAAAAAGATGAATATATATAAAAATGATAAAATAAAAAGGCTGTAAATAATGCATATATATATATATAAGGATAAAAAAAACTAGGAAAAAAAAGATGAGGGAAAAAGATTATCAAGATCACTCCTTCACGTGAATACCCGCCCTCCACTTAGTTCTCTCCAAAGTCATGCCCTCATCCAACCCCAGAAGAAGCATATCACTTCGAACTCCCCTAACCCACGTCTGTTTGGGTCTTCCTCTCCCTCTCTTCCCTGCCTCTTCTCCACACATCTCAACTCGCCTAACAGGTGCATCACTCGGTCTTCTACGCACATGACCAAACCACCGTAGGCGCGACTCCCGCATCTTGTCTTCAATAGGTGCTACTCCCACCCTTTGTCTGATTGTCTCATACAATCAGGTAGTACCTCTTAATAAGGTACATGGCTCAACCACAACACCAAAATATAAAAAACTAACCAACTAGCACTTACACTAATTCAGCCAGATATCCCAGATCCCTATCATTTGTTTTCAAGCCAAACCAGACCACACCCAGGGGTGTGGTCAGATAGTAATCATCTTCGGGCGTATAACCGTATAACCTATACAAAATGACCTGCATTTGTGTAACATTTTTATCAACATTGGCTCTATTACCTCAAAAAGTCCAGAATTCCATGTTTTCCAGATTGCATAGACAGTGTGGCTCAATGCTAGTATCTCCACCCGTGCGTGCACGGAAGTGAATAGTCTACAACTCTACATCTATAAAAAAATACGTACTATTAAACTTAGGGGAAAAATATAAGCATAAAAAATTGATCCCGTCACTTGTTAATTATATAACAAACAAAAACAATAGCACACATGAGCATAACCGGTAAAAGGTACGGAGTAAAAGATACTAAAGCCTAATACCTCTATGTGAGATTAATTAGAATTGAACTTTAAAAATCATCTTCAAAATCCTGCCTTTTATTAGACTTTATCTTTAAGAGACAATCTTTACTCATGACATAAACTATGTTAAAAACTAAAAAGCTCTAAATGGTTTGCTTTAGAAAATTTGAAATGTAAAAACAAAGAAAATAGGACGCTTAATACATAATGGTAAAAGATAGAAGTTACTGATACCTAATACTTCTAAAGGGGAGCTAGGTGCACGAAGGATCCCCACAAAGAGAGGGTTCGGGGAAGGGTCCTACCTCAAGGGTGTATAGGGGAGGGGGGGGGGGGGGCATGCTCTCCCCGGTCAAATTTTGACGAGAGAATGTTCCCGAGACTTGAAACTGTGTCTTGTTGGTCACACACGAACACCTTTAAATGTGTGCCAAGGCTCCCTTTCTAATACTTCGAACAAAGATAAATTAATATTGAACTTTTAAATCATCTCTAGAATTCTACCTTTTATTATATTTAATTATTGATTAAATTTTCACTCATGACTATGTTTAATCAATTTGGAGGTTGCAAATGCTCGTTTTTTACATGGCTGCCATAATCTGCTAAAACTACGGCGAGCTATGTTCTTTAGTCACTTTACAAACTTCTTTTTTTTTCAAATATAAACAGGAAACACAGGCAACATGTTTGTTCTTATAATTATTGCAGTTTTGTAAGTAGAAAGGCAGCCCGTTTCGGAACAAAGAGTTATCTCAGTTTATTACGTAGTACTCCCTCTGCCCCCTATAATTGTCCCATTTTTCCATTTTGGATCCCCCTATTATTGTCTCATATGGTACCATTTGCGTGGCTCTAATTCATTCTTACTTTATTCCCACATAATTCTACTTTTCTTAAAAACCACACCACTCCCTTCCGTCCCAATATTAGGGGGACAGAGGTAGTATTAAACATTGTGTACATTTTCCAATACACGATGCTCAACCACAAATAAAAACAAATGAAGCTAAAAACAAAGCTAATAAGATGCTTGCAAATAGAACAAAGAAAATAGTTGTCTAATGCAGTTCCATATTTGTCTAAGATATTTTGAATATAGTTCAGTGTTTACAAACTAAAAGAATTTATGCGTTTAGTAAGATACTATAAATCTTCTGCTCTTTATCATCATCTTTACCCCAGTGCCGCAAAGGCTCCCACACCTTCGGTGGGGTAAGGAGGGTCGGATGTACGCAGTCTTACCCCCTTACTAAAGCACACAGAGACTATTTCCAGATGACCCATAGTGAAAATCGCGTCGAAAATTGCATGGACTGACTGCTGATTCATAACAAAGAAGCACAAACAGTTTATTAAGCCATTTTGCTTTATTCCATCATATTCCCAAGCCAAAAAATAGTGAGTCCTTGACACCATTGCAAATGATGGAAAAAAATCATATGTTCTTTATCATCAAAACAATTTTTTTGACTCAAATATGTTTATTATCAATCTGAACTATGAAAAGTGAATTACTGTTCGCAAACTACTCCTCAATCCCAAAAGGATAACTCCCAAACTGAAAGTGAATTACTGTTTGCAAACAACTCAATCCCAAAAGGAGAACTCCCAAAGTGAACTTCTAAGCTAAAAGCCTAAAACAGATTTGAAACCCTGGTACTTCATGTTAGGCAAATATTTACTGACGGCAAAGTGCTGCACAATATTAGACCCTAAATCATCTTTCGGGACTTGAAGGATGCATAAAGCTTTCAACTCCAAGTATGATGTCTAATTGTCTATGAAAGCCATGGAAGTATTTCTCGTATAATTCTGGTTTCATGGCTCTAAGATCCACCATTGTTTTACTACGTAGCATTTAGAAAAAAGAACAGGGAGTCATCGTTTTGGAAACAGAAAATGCACTGTATGATTCATTTTATATTTTAGTATGTTAGCTTATTAACAAGTTGCATCTGTGCATATGTGATGCACTAGCAAGATTTGCAACTCTCAGAATGCTAAATTTGGGATTTCTAAGTATTTGCATGACACTATCAAAACAAATGACTATGCTATATGACTTTTTTCCTTATTTGTGACTGTTTTTCTCACTAAGGTATTATGGGTTTCATTTCCTTAAAATTGTATGGCTCTTTAATCTTGTTCCTCTGAAATCCTTCCTAAAACATTTCATTGCACTGTATAGAGCAGATAGACTTCCTTTCACCCTTACACTTGCATATCTCCTTCCAAATGTACTCACTTGCAGGACACTTGAAAAAAAATGCTTAGCAGTTTCCAGGTGGCCAGAACACGAGCTGCAAGACCCATTTCCATCCAAAAACAAAAAAAAAAATCCTGCAGTAAAGCACAGCTATAGAGTAAAGGAGAACCTAGGAGGATGTAAATCTTATAGATAAACCTCATCCTGCATTCACTAACACCTCTGAGCTTTAACAATTCAAAAAGATCCTAGCTTTGTTATCAAAGTCTCCTGGCTACCAAAACAGTCTAGAAGTGAATCCTTGAATCTGGCCAGTTGTTGAGCAGAGAAGAAGCCCTCTCATTGAGAGACCACTCCCAAATTGTAGCATTTTTCAAGTAGCCCTTATGGAACCTTTTGATCCATGCTCATTTCTTTTTAAGATGTATGTTTTCAATGGTTTGGTCCTCTTGGAAAGTAAAGCTGCATTCCAGCCTTTAGGCTCTCTTAGCCTTAAGCCCCTTTCTTTTCTGGATTTGCAAATAAAGCTACTTTGTCTCTTTTCCCACCCCATAAGAATCCTTCTATACTTCATCAAATGTCTTATTTGTTCGTTGGGCTTTGATTTTGTAGGCTGCTGAAGAATATCTAGTGCTTCTCTTGGAAGAAGCACAACTATGTGCGTTACATGCAAAACGCATCACACTTAGTAAGATCTCTCCCCACTCCACAAGCTTATTGCAGTATTTGTTGACCTAACATATTAAGTTCTACTAACGCCGAAAACCCAAATTCTCATTGCCATGGAAATGCGGGCTTTGTTTTTCCCGTACTTTAGATAAAAATAAAGGGGTTGGTATTTATTTTGGCCATTGCAGTTAATTCATAAAACAACCTTGAAATGAATGCAAGTATGGAACTGTAACATAATTTCATTTTTATTGTCTTTGTTCAGTGAAAATAGATTTTCAATTGGCCAGGCGCATCACGGGGAAAGGACGACCCAAATAGATGATCAAACATCAGTCTAACGTTGTTATATAGAAATAGATTTTTGTTGGTTGTTGGTAGTTACTAGTTTTTTACCCATGCGATGCACGGAGTGAGAGTTTTTATAAAATGATAAATTGAAAATGTTATTCTTTTCGTCGCATAATTAATCTTATTTTGATTTGGCAAGGTGATTAAAAGGTAGTTTTTTTGTTGTTCAAAGTTGGGACTGCTAAAAAGAAACCTTGAAGTTTTTTTTAGCCAGAGGGAGTACATGATATCATCAACAAAACAACGTCCAAGCCTTAGTCCCAAAAGATATTGGGGTCGGCTAGGGACAGACCCAACCGGCCCAGCCCGGAACCGGTCAGCTACTGTGCGTGCCCGGCTTAGCCCGGATATGTTGGGCGATTCAGGCTTTGAACCGACCTGATCGGGTAGGGCAGTTCGGGCACGGGTCTGAAAAAAGGTGAACCGACCCGATCGGGTAGGGTCGGTTCGGGCCCGGTCCGGGCCTAATGGTTATTTTTTTAATTTCTTTTCTTTTCCAGCCAAACAAGCCCTTATACTTGTTGCATTCAAACCCAAACGGCTCTATAGCCGTTTGGAGGCTGCGAGGGGGTCTTGGGGTGGGTAAGTGGGTTGGAGGGGTGAGGTACAAAAAACCTATAAATACTCTTTTTTCTATACAATTCACTACACATCTTCTCCAAATATTCCTACTCTCTGATGATCTGATCTTTATTCTCTAATCTCTACTAATCTTCTCCATCTTCATCTCCTCAAATTTATAACCACATATATTATATTTATAAAATTTATTATCTACTCATTATCTACTTATTATCTACTTATTATTTACTTATATAGTTATATTAATAACTAATTATAATATTATTGTTATTTACTTATATTTTCATATTACATATACTTAATATATACTTATATATATATATATATATTAAAGTATTATATATAAGTGTATTACTCATCTTATAGTAATATACTTATATTATATATACTGTAAACATAATATTATATATTACTAGTTAATCTACTTATAAATATACATTAAGTATATCTACTTATACACTTATTATCTACTTATCCAATTGCTTATACACTCTCACACTTCCATTAATTTAGTTTACACACTCATACATTTTTTCGATTCATGTCATGTGATGTGACTAAGTGATACTGTTGACTGTCACGCACTCACGCGCTTAACACAACACCCTCCTCCTTTATCTTGGCTTGGGACATGCATGATACCAAAAAAATGATCTCATGATATCAAATGTAGATCCTGAAAAGGATCTGCATTTGGTGTTCATTGACTTAGAAAAGGCATATGATAGGGTACCTCGAGAAGTTCTTTGGTGGGCCTTAACTAGAAAAGGCATATCATTTAAGTATATTAGCATCATCATGGATATGTATGATGCTTGTACTACAAGTGCGCGCACTAGTGTAGGGAGGACCGCAGAGTTCCCTATTACTATTGGAGTGCACCAAGGATCTGCTTTGAGTCCTTTCTTATTTGCTTTAGTCATGGATGAACTTACGAAGTCAATTCAAGAAGATATACCATGGTGCATGATGTTTGCCGATGATATTGTATTGATTGATGAGACACAATCCGTTGTTAAAGCGAAGTTGGAAGTATGGCGACACATTGGAGAGCAAGGGTTTCAAACTGAGCCAAAGCAAGATTGAGTATATGAAGTGCAAGTTCAGTGGAGGTAGAAGCAGTAGCAACAACGAGATTACTCTTGATGGTAAGGAGATACCAGTGTGTGATATATTCCGTTACTTTGGATCCATAATTCAGAAGGATGGTGAATTAGGTGGAGATGTATGTCATAGAATCAGAGCTGGGTGGATTAGGGTTGGACTCGGGTCCGGGTCGGGTCCGGGTCGGGCCTAGGCCCGAGCGGGCCGGCGGGTCAGAAATGGTGGACCCGGGACCGGCCCGGGTAACCACCGGGTCCGGTCCGGGTCCGGGTAACCACCGGGTCCGGTCCGGGTCCGGGTAACCACCGGGTCCGGTCCGGGTCCGGGCCGGGCCCATTATAATTTTTTTTTTGTTTTCCTCTTCCTAAGTAACCCCCCTCCCACCCCCAACTCCCAAACCACCCCAAATGGCCCAAAATACCCAGCCCAACCCAAAACTTTTAAAAAAATTGCAAAAAAAAAAAATTGTTTTTGGCCCGAACCGGGCCCGGCCGGGTCGGGCCTTGTTTTGGGTGACCCGAGCCCGGACCGGAAAACCCACGGGCCGGGCCTACCCGGACCGGTCACTGACCGGGCCACCGGGTCGGCCCGGGCCGGAACAGTACCGGTCCCGGGCCGGTTCCGGGTCGGGCCACCCGGCCCGAGTCCATACCTAGGGTGGATGAAATGGAAAAGTGCTTCAGGATTTCTATGCGATCGAGGTATGCCGACTAAACTGAAAGGTAAATGTTATCGTACAACAATTAGGCCGACATTAATGTATGGCGTAGAGTGTTGGGCGGTGAAGCAATGCCACATTCAAAAGATGAGTGTGACGGAGATGCGTATGTTGCGTTGGATGTGTGGACATACCAGAAAAGACCGCCTAAGGAATGAGGTAATCAGACAAAAGGTGGGAGTAGCACCTATAGAAGATAAGATGCAGGAGTCTCGTTTGCGGTGGTTTGGGCATGTGCATAGAAGACCGAGTGATGCACCTGTTAGACGACTTGAGGGGTGGGGAGAAGAGTCAGAGAAGAGAGGGAGGGGAAGACCCAAACAGACTTGGATTAGAGTAATCAGAACTGATATGCGTCTTCTTGGGTTGGATGAGAGTATGGCTTTGGAGAGAGCAAAGTGGAGGGCGCACATCCATGTGGACGATTGATGTCTTGTCTACCTTTCCTCTCTTGTTTCTTTTATCGTTTATCTTCCTTATCTTTTTATATTCTTATGTTATTTTTATCTTCTAGCTTTTTATGCTCTTTTATTTATTTTTCTTTTATCGTGGTTATATTCTTGTGTTATTGTTATCTTATATTTATGTATCTTTATTTTATTCATTTTATCTTACTTTTTTTCCTTTTCTTGTCCGCCTTCTCTTTTTAACATCGATATCATAGATCAATTCATGTTAGCCGACCCCAAATTCTTTTGGGATTAAGGCTTGGATGTTGTTGTTGTTGTTGTTGTTGTACTCATACATTCTTTATTAATATAAAACTAGTTAATTGTTTCACTTATCATTTTAGTATTAGTTCATTGCTATAAAAGTAATTAATTGTTAGTTGTTAGTTTATTGGAAATAGTTACATTAAAAACTAGTTAATCGTTTCACTTATCATTTTAGTATTAGTTCATTGCTATAAAAGTAGTTAATTGTTAGTTGTTAGTTTATTGAAAACAGTTCATTAAAAATTGTTAGACAATAATTGTTTGTTTAATTGTTAAACTAGTTAATTCGAAATTAATTGTTTAATTGTTAAACTAGTTAATTGTTACATTTATTATTTTCCTATAAAACTAGTTAATTGTTACATTTCTTATTCTCCTATAAAACTAGTGAATTGTTACAATTATTATTCTCCTATAAAATTAGTTAATTGTTACATTTATTAATCTCCTATAATAGTAGTTAATTGTTACATTTATTATTCTCCTATAAAACTAGTTAATTGTTACATTTCTTATTCTCCTATAAAACTAGTTAATTGTTACATTTATTATTCTCCTATAAAACTAGTTAATTGTTACATTTATTATTCTCCTTTAATACTAGTTAATTGTTACATTTTTTATTCTCCTATAAAACCATTTAATTGTTACATTTCTTATTCTCCTATAAAACTAGTTAATTGTTACATTTATTATTCTCCTATAAAACTAGTTAATTGTTAAACTTGTTAAATAAAGGTGTTACATTTTAAAACAAATTGTTCGAATTTTTACATTGCATTATTATTTAATTGTAGTTAAGTTTATTACATTGTAGTTCCATAGTTCGAATTTAATTGTATTTCGAATTGGTAGATTTGTATTTCAAATTCACTAGTTTAATTGTACTTCGAATTTAATATTTGTTATATTTTTAAGATGGAACATGCTAGAGCTTCTGTAGATATGAGTAACCTCCGCCGAAACCGAACAAAGGAGATTGCGAGGAATCATGCAAGGGCATGCAAAGGTAAGGGAGGGGTCGAGTCTTCATCTCAAACCCGACATGATTTTGACGCGGTTTACAACCAAAGATATGGGGATGCGATGTTTGATGAGCAATTAGAACAACTATTGCAACAAAATCAAGGAGGTTTTTTCATCAACAAGGTTTTTTTTCACAACTATTGCAACTATTGACGAAGAAGAGCTCGAGGATGATGATGCGGAGGAGAGGGATCCGCAAACGGTCGAGGACGAGGTTCATGGCACACCGGACGATGAGGAAGAGCAAGCAGAAGTGGCTACTTCTTCATAAGGCGGTGAGAAACCTGGATCTATCTTTAAGGCCAACTAGTAGAACACCCGTGCGATGCACGGCTGGTGAATTTTTCACATGTTTAATCATTTTTAGTCAAATTTGGAATAAAGAATAAACTTGTAAATCCAAATGAAATAATTAGAATAAAAAAATCAACAATTTATAATTATAGTCCCTACAATAATGAATTTTGATATGTGATGCAATATATCAAATTCGATTCAACTTGTTGCTAAATGTTTAAACATAATTTGAAAACACATTAGACATGTTGCTAAATGTTTAAATCGCTTCTTTATAGACAACAACCTCGAACTAATACGCTGACTATTATTTATACGAATTGCATTTTTAAAAAGAATTACCTTTGTAAACTTACAAAGCACGGGGGCATTATGGTATTGAGGTTGTACTTTGAGGGGAAGGGGACCGTAATCGTGATCATATATTCGGCACACGATTCACAACCGATAGATCTCACATATTTAAAAACATATTGCCTAGTTTTTTAAGCACGGTTGGTGATTTTTTTCGCGTGTTCAATCATGTTTAGTCAAATTTGTAATAATGAATAAACTTGTGATTCTAAATGAATCATTTAGAATTAAAAAATGAAGAGTTTAGAATTATAGTCCCTACAATTATGAATTTTGATATGTGATGCAATATATTAAATTCGATTAACCACTGATTACACGTAGTATAAACATAATTTGAAATCACATTAGATTTGTTGCTAAATGTTACGAAACACATCTTCATAGACAACAACATCGAACTAATACACTGGCTA